TGTGTCTCCAAGTTTCATTTTGTGTTTGGACTTGGTCACTGTCTAAATCAAAAGAGTCTGTGATGGGGAAGAGAAGTCTAATGGATGAGAATTGAAAGTTGTGGAATGGTCTGTAAAAGGTGGAAGGTTTGTTGAACGGAAAGTTGTAAAGCATGGTAAGATGATCTGTGAAAGTGAGGATGGGCTTGCTGTTAAAAGTAAGGAATTGTTCAGGATAGGAGTAAGAGATTGGCTTCATGTTATTAGGTGGTGGGGTTTGTGCCTCAAGGAAATAAGCATACAACCAAGCCTGGAAGAGCCAGAAGGGTCCACCGCAGTTGGCAGAAATCTTCTTGTCAACAAGAGAAAATAGGCCCTTGCAAAGGGTAGCAAGAAGATAAGGGGCTAAGGCCATAGCTTGGCCATCTTGGATACGCAAGGCAAGAGAGAGGTATTCCTTGGTGACCTTATACTAGGGACACAAAAAAGAAACTGACAAAACCAAACTAAATAGAAAGCAGTTCTTTCTTTGTCCTCGACAGAGGAACCAGGCTTGCCTTTGTATTTTTTGATGAATTCTGTATAGCTCATATCAGTGTTTAAAGTAAAAGTCACTTTTGGGGGCTCAAGAAGAGCATGAATTTGATTGCCCAAAATTGGGAGGCTAGTCAAGTGAGCTACATCTAAAATAGTAGGGGAAATCATACCAAAGTTCAAAAGTAGAGAGTTACAAGACTGAGATCAAAAGCATGTGGTAGCAGCAATCAGACTTTGTACACGTCATATTTTTTGGTCGACAGTCTTATTACCTCGCTAATGCCCTGGTGCTTCCATATTTCAAACTCGCAGGCTTCAATTCTCTTGGCCCAGCTTTGCTGAACAGAGTTCGGTGATCTCCAGGATCTAAGAGGGTTCTTGTTGACATTCCAGTTAGTCCAACTAAGCCTGGGTTGGTTAAGAAGAAGGTTCTCACCATTAGCAAGGGGATAGTATGGAGCTAGCTCGTCTGGGAAGTGAGACAAGAAGGTAGGACCTAAAGTGGCCTTAGCGACAGAGCTTGTGCTCGGCAATAGGGTAATACCTAGCTTTAGAGGCGTGATAAGTGTTCTGATGGAGTTGGGAAAGTGAAGTAGGTCTTCATCGTTGTCCTCATATGGAGTTGGTTGGGATTTCTTGGGGGCCATGGCTTAGGGTTTTCTTGATGCCTTGGTTTCAAATGAAAGTGCTTGAGAAGAAGAAGTATAGTCTAAGGAGTTCGAATAAGAGGGAAATGAAGTTGAAGTGATTTGAAGTTAAAAATGTGGATCTTTTATAGTTTATGATGGGCCCAGTATACTTAAAAGTATTAAAACAATCTTATATTGGGATGTGGTCTGTTTTTGTTTTGGGCCCGTAATAAATAATATGTTGGGGCCGTAATAAATAATTTGTTAGTGGTATTATTTCTTGGCTCAGGGGGTGAAATCTATGATTTAAGTACAATTTGGGCCCAAATGGCAAGTTTGTTCAAGTTAAAATCATTTGATATTTAGTTAACTTGAACAGGGGGGACATTATTTGCACCTTTTTTGCTAGGTTCCGTTGACAGGTGGTCCAATTAGTGGAGGACACGTGGCCAAGTCTAGAGTGAATGTCCAGCATTAGAAGACCATGACATAACTCCATGCAAAACAATTCGAATACTCTAAAATCAAGCCAACTAGCTTGACCTTACATTCATTGGATAATAAAGCATTTACATAAATAGGCCTCTTACCGACCTCATTTCCTAAGTTAAACTCCTCTTAAGGGTCCTGCATATCAGCCTTGAGATCATCAAGCTTTGCAAGGGCTGCCTTTAAATTCTCATACTGCACCTCTTTATAATCTAGAGGGCTATCATCTACTACACATTCTGCCCAAAAATAGTGGGGCAACATACCACCCAACCTTCTTAAAAAAAAAAAAAAAAAGTCTAACAAAAGTACTTTTAATTACATCAGAATCAAATTCATTCTCACTTTTCTTCATTTTCATTGGTAATGTCGTCAATCAGCACTTCATCTGCAGGCCTGGTCTGCAAGACATTTGGCCTAGCCACTTCTTGGCTTATCTGTCAAAAACCTTCCTCAACAACAACATAACAACTTAGCTTTTAGACTTAGGAGTAGTTGAGATTGTAATTTAAGAGTAGTATCTATCATTGTAATCTGTACTTGTTGAGTAAACACGGGTGATTTCAGTATGAAATTGCTTCTGTTTATTTAATCTATCTTGTTACCATCTGTTAATACAATAATTTGAAGTTGTTTCTTTTTATTCAATATACCTTGTTACCATCTTTTGATCAAGAAAGTTTGTCTTCCTTCTTGTTTACTTGGTTGTCACTATTTGATCCAGAGAAGTGCTTCGACTTTTGAGGTATTTGAACCAGAACCACAGTTGTTTGATTGTTTCTATTTAAAGTTGTGTAGTTTGAATTAATGCTTGGTTGTTGTCGATCCAGTACTAGCATAATTTTTACTAACAATTTTTGGCACACCTAATGCAACAATCTTGCATAATTTGGATAAGAAATTGTGAAGGCAAAGAAATAGGTTGACAAGTATGCTAAAAAGAGGCTGGTTGAGTTTGAAGAAAAAGAGACAGACCAGGACTTGGTCTTTGTTGATGATGGTGGTGCCCAGCATGAAGGCCAGGCAATGGCCTATAAAGGCCAGATGGGTGGCCAAACAATGGGTATAAAAGGCGAAGCAAATGGTTATGCCAAAATTCCAACAGGGGTTTTGGTGGTTCAGATAAGGGATGCACTAGCAAACCAGTCACTAAAAGAGAATCAGATCCTTCTAGGAGAAGTAAGGAGTGTGTTGAAAGTTCCACTGATGGAGTATGCAAGCTAGAATGAAGGAAAGGCATAGAAGGTGTCCTCAAGAACACATATGGTGCCACCAACTGGTGGGCCACCCCAATTTGTGGGTGGTCTGAGGAGTTCGAATCAAAGGGAAATGAAGTTGAAGTGATTTGAAGTTGAAAATGTGGGTCTTTTATAGTTTATGATGGGCGCAATATATTTAAAAGTATTAAAACAGTCTTATATTGTGCTGTGGTCTATTTTTGGTTTAGGCCCGTAATAAATAATTTGTTGGTGGTATTATTTATTGGGCTTAGGGGGGTGAAATCTCTTATTTAAGTACAATTTGGGCCCAAATGGCAAGTTTGTTCAAGTTAAAATCATTTGATATTTAGTTAACTTGAACAAGGGGGGCATTGTTTGGACCTATTTTTGCTAGGTTCTATTAGCAAGTGGTCCAATTAGTGAAGGACACGTGGCCAAGTCTAGAGTGGATGTCCAGCATCAGATGACCATGACTAACAATTGAAAGTGGTCTTTGCATACGAGTTCACTATAAGTGATGGAGCAGTTAGTGGCAGTGATCATGGAGTTAGTGGGCAGCCTTTCAAGAAGAAACATGTGACAAAGTAGGATCTTTTCTCTGTCAAAAGAAGGTTAAAAGAGTTTGTGGGCATGAAATAACCTGAGCAAGAGGCAGATCAACAGACAGAAAGAGAGGGTTAATGTAATTAGAAAGCCTAGAAGTCAGGGAGCAGTTGCAGCAGTTACGCAGTAACAGTTGCAGATTGGGAAGGTCGTGGGGACCTATGGAAGAAGAAGTATAAAGGCCAGAGATTGGCAGAAATGAGAGGACATCAACAAAAACATAATAACTTAGCTTTTAGACTTAGGAGTAGTTGAGATTGTAATTTAGGAGTAGTATCCATCATTGTAATATGTACTTGTTGAGTAAGCATGGGTGATTTCAGTATGAAATTGCTTCTGTTTATTTAATCTACCTTTTTACCATCTATTAATACAACAATTTGAAGTTGTTTCTTTTTATTCAATCTCCCTTGTTACCATTTTTTGATCAAGAAAGTTTGTCTTCCTTCTTGTTTACTTGGCTGTCACTGTTTGATTTAGAGAAGTCTTTAGTCTTTTGAGGCATTTGAACCAAAACCATAGTTGTTTGATTGTTTCTATTTAAAGTTGTGTAGTTTGAATTATTGCTTAGTTGTTGTTGTTGATCTAGTACTAGCATAATTTTTACTAACAATATGTTCCGTCCAAAAGAAAAGGATTTACTTATTTTAATGTATATATTTTGATTTTAATATCCTTTCTCCTTCTCAAAACTATTGAGGTTACATTTTGTCCATTGCACTTTTCAAAATGCAACGATCGATGGGCGATTGAACATTTAAGCAATTGCTTCATTGAACTTTTTCTTTTTTTGAAAATTTTAGCGAATGTAGCAATTGATAGGGGATCGATAGAATTTGAGAGAGATCGATTGATCTTTAAGGGCGATCGATCGCCAATAGAGGTCAATTATTCAGCTTTTCTTTCTCTCTCTCTCCTCATTCACTTCTCTGTCTCAGGTAGTTGAGATTTGAATTTGTAACCCTAAATAATTAGTAAGATTTGATTTTGTAATTATAATTAGTGTAATATTAATTTGAGGTTTATTATAACACAGGACTTTAAGAATAAAAAGTGAATAAGACTTGCTATCATATAGAAATTTGATTAAAAACTCCTTTATTCCCTCAAAGCATAAAATAATACAAGTAATTCACTCTTTACCTCAATAACAAACTTGTAGGTAATGAAAAGAATTTTACAATTAAAAAATATATTTGGTAGAAAGGAATAGGGTTAATTATAATAAAACTTCCTAAATTATTAGTGCATATCACTTTATCTCATCATCTATGAATTTATACATTTTGACTCCTTTAACTATAAAAATACATTGCCTTTACTTCCTAGAATGTGGCATTTGTACGATTTTTATAGTTGAAGAGTCAAAATATATGAATTTATAGATTAGGGATAAGAGATGATATTCACTAACTAGCAGTTGAGGAAGTTTTGATGCAATTAGCCCAAAAAAATATCCACTACATACAAAATGATCCACAATTTGAAAAAAAAAAAAATTTAAAAAGAAATGTGTCCAGGGTTTTGTGAAAGGAACTATAGCCTATGGAGGAAGGCTTTTGGTTTCACCCCAACCCATAATAGATGATGGCAATCGTCCCACTTTATCTATCCGTTCTTCAAAAGCCAGCCCCATTCCCATATAGAAGTGAGGCTCTATGTGGCAATGGAATGCCCACACACCAGGATTATTTGCTCGGAACCTTAAAGCTGCCCATTCATAAGGCTGCACAGCCACTGTATTCTTCATGATTGGATTAACCAAATTGTACTTTTTTGGATCTGTAGACATGTTGAACTTGCCTGTCCCGTAACCCATGACCCAAAAATCGTGCCCGTGTAGATGCCAAGGATGTGTCTCGCTGTTGTTCTTGGTCATTGTATTGGCATATTGAAGTATAATGTCCACTGTTGAATTGAATTTCAGCCTATAGATGAAGTCACTTGAAGTGGCATTTGTATTGTTAGCTATACTGTAAATGTCGTAGTTGGCAAAGTCGTAACCATACGAAAGAGAATTTTCGTTAAATGCGTGCTTTAAATTTTGCTTGAGGGCAATTAGATATGAGGTTTGTGGAAAGTTGAAGGGGACATTGTTGATGGACCAGTGTACGTGGCCATTGATGGTATTTTGAGTGTTGAGCATCACAATTACTCTGTTTGATGTTTGGGGAGGAGGTAGGATGTAACCTTTTCGGGCCTTGATGTTTACGCTTTGATTCACCCTGGCTTCTACATCATTCCAAAGAGGGCCGGTGGGTGGAACTGTTGGGGGAGATCTTTTAGGATGGTTCGGGTAGTAATTGAGAATGGCTAAACCATTTGGAGTTGTGCTATTCCGGCTAACCACTTTTGAACTTGCCCAGTAATTTCTTGAAGGGTCTTGATCAGCTTTTATTAGGATAGAGTATGTCTCACCAGAGTAGATGAATAAATTTTTCACTACAAATGGCTCAACATAGTGCCCATCTGCTTCAACAACGGTCATATTATGACCCTACATTACAAATATAATACTATTACATTAGCAATTAATGACAAGAAGAGAAGGAAAAAGGAAAAAGAAAAAAAGAATTGGTTTAGAATGTTGTTGTTCAAATCTGTTAGGTTTTATTCTTGGCAACCCCGTTTGACAAAACTCCTTTCAGTTGTATTTGTTTTCGCACCTTTTATTTCAGTGAGGCTATGAGTTTATTAGATGCGAATCCAACCCGAATTGTGCCTTTTGTCAATTTCCATGGATCAAAACCGAGGTTGTAACAGGATCTAGTTTTCTAGATTTTTCAATTTTGGTCGTCCCGCTCGAGCAGTTAAAGTGACGCTCGAGCAGGGATTGCAAGCTCACAGCATCTCTACTTCACCTAAAAAAGTACTGGATGGTGTGATTCGACGCTCGAGCGTGGAAACTTCCGCTCGAGCGTGAAGCTTGTATGAATCACACAATTTTGAAGCCTCCGTTCAAGCGGGAAGTCTCACGCTCGAGCGGACTGCGCGAACATAGGTTCTTGGATTTCTATAAGGAATTGGTTTTCTTCCAAAACTAGGATTACTTTGGATTTCTATAAGTAGTTGGGTTTCTCCCAAAACTTGGGCAAGTCCTCCAGATCTTCTTTTTGGGTTCTAAGGTTTATATCTGGGGATTTTTTACTAGTTTTCTTTGATGTTTTCATTGAGTATTCAACTCATGGTTTAAGAAGCATACATCAAAGGTTTGTTTGTTTATTCTACACAAAAGAGAGAGTTGTTCTTCGGTAGATTCTGAAGAATTCGAGCCTGAAGCTTTGGTGGATTCTGAAGTGGCTCATCGTCAAGACAATTCCGAGGTGAAGACGGGGTTGGAAGAGACACGTAGAGGTTGGTTCAATTCGGGCGTGGATTCGCTAGGTAATTGAGAGTATACTTATGTAATTCCTTTATATCTTCTTAGTGGATTGTTTTGTGACTGTTGTCTATGGTTTTTTTTATCACAATTGGAGGTGTCCAATTGTGGTTTTTCCACGTTAAAATCGTTGTGTTGATTTGTCTTGATTGTTTGATTGAGATTGTTTTATTGCTTAAAATTGATACATAATCACAAATCATATTTAGAGGATTTCTAGATTTTTCAATTGGTATCAAAGCAGGTCGTTCTATTTTTTTAAAAAAAAATATTCTTTTAGAACGAGATCTTGTTTGATTTGTGATAATGGATTCAATTCGTGAGGAAAATTCTATGGTTCGACCACCCCTACTTGACGGATCCAATTATTCTTTTTGGAAAGCTCGGATGAGATCGTTTTTGAAATCTATAGATGAAAAAGTTTGGCAATCTGTCATGAATGGGTGGACTGAACCAACAATTATCGTTGATGGAATAACTTTCCCCAAACCAATTGAAAAGTGGGACACAATTGATTACCAAAATAGTAGCTGGAATAGTAAAGCTATCAATTCTCTCTTTTGCGCTATCACACCTGAAGAGTTTAGTCGTATTTGTAATTGTGAAGTCGCAAAAGAGGCTTGGGATATCTTACAAACTATTCATGAGGACACTTCTTCTGTTAAACGGTCAAAACTTCAAAGGCTCACGTCCAGTTTCGAAAACCTTTCAATGAAAGATAGTGAGACCTTTGATGAATTTTATGCAAAATTGAGTGACATTGTAAATTCCAACTTCAATTTAGGTGAAAAAAATACCAGAATCCAAAGTTGTGGAAAAAATTTTGAGATCCTTACCTGATCGGTTCCAACCAAAAGTTACGGCTATTGAGGAGGCTCAAGATGTTGGCAACCTCAAGCTGGATCAGTTGGTTGGAAATCTCCAAACTTATGAGGCACATAGGAATTTCAAAAAGAAACAAAAAGATATTGCTTTTAGTAGTGCTCATAGAGTTGGAGAGGATTCTGATGAGGATTATGGGATAGATTCCAAGATTACAGATGCTTTTATAAAACAATTTAAAAAATCTTTTTTGAAAAAGAATCCTAAACTTTTGGAATCTACTCATACTCATAAATCTAAAGGCAAAGATAAACTCATAATTAATTCTATAGCCAAGAAGGAGAAAAGAAAGATACAAGGGAACTCTGAAAGAGTCCAATGCTATGAATGCCAAGGATTTAACCACTTTGCTTCAGAATGCCCTACTCGTTTGAGGAAGAAGAAAGCGATCGCCATCACTTGGGATGATGAATTAGAATCTGATGAAGATGAAAGTGACAATGAAGATCAAGGCGAAGAGGGACATAAACAATTCCTTACTTTCATGGTGGCTTCTGAAACTGAAGGACAAACAGAGTATCCGAAGAGCCCGGTTAAGAATACCACTGATGATGAATTCTCAGGAAGTGATGATGAAGAGCTTGAGCAAGCTTATGAAAAGTTGTATAAGGAATCTCTTAAGTTATCCAAATTGAATGACAAACTCACTATGAAACTCACAGCATGTGAAAGTGAGAATGTCAAACTAAAGGAGGAGATTTCCGAGGCTAGGATTGATGCCATCAAGATAGCTAATGATCGACAAGCTCTTTGCGCAAAACTCTTGACTTGTGACACAGAGAGGAATGAGCTACAACAAATCTATGCAACATATGAAGAAAAAATTGAAACTCTCGAGATGTCTCAAGTTGCTTTGGAAGAACTAATGATCAAGAAAGAGGAAGAACTCAAGTGTGCCATGGTTACCATTGGTCTTTGGAAATCAAAGACTTTGGACAATATCATTGGGTCTCAACAAATTTGTTCAGACAAGAGTGGCATTGGCTTTGGTGGTAATAAAGAGCAAAAACAGAGTGCTTCGACATCTCATGATACAAGAACTCAAGGAAAGGGAGAACAAAAAATTCAACATAAGGATGGACTTCTCAAACTTCCTAGAGTTGGTAAGGTAAAAGAAAAGAAGGTACACTCTGTTTTTATTTGTCATCATTGTGGTGTACATGGTCATATTCGGCCTTATTGTTATAAGTTGCATAAGAGAGTGTATTTGCCTAGACCTAAAAATTGGAAGTTGGAAGCCAAGTCGAGACGGGTTCCCATTGCAAGGGAAAGGAACCACAACGTCAAGACACCACCCAAGAACCGCAAAGCTCACAACTTTGTTCGTACTAAAGCAGTTTGGGTGAGAAAACTTGACTTGTGTTAATTTGTTTTGTCATTTTAGTTGTTGGATTTTTGTGTGTTTTTTTTTTGTCATTACATGTGTGCTTGTTCATTTTTTTTTTGTCTTGCTTTATTTTTGAAAAAAAAAAATTCCAAAAGATTTTCTTAGTATGGTCTTGCAAACTTGAAATTTTTGAGTGGTCCTTGGTGCATATTGGAATTGATGAGAATATCCATTACATGTTAATATATGTGTGCTTTCTATGGTCATTACTCATTTTGGAGTACGTGTTTTTTGATTAGTATGTCTCATTCTGTACACACTTTTAGATTAGCAAATATCAGAGTCTTCCGCCTTAGTGATATTTTTTTTATGGACTTCTGGCATTGTATCTTTTGTTTTTCTAGAGGAATTGACCTATACTAGCATATCTTCGGTGATGTTAAGTCTCTTAACCATCCTCCATCTTTTTGCATCTCCATGACTTTCCCCTCTATTCTTTGTAGTCCAGCCATGAGGAAAAGGCCACCTCAGAGTCACCAACCAGGCCATCCTTATTATATCCATGCTTCTCTGGTTCGGTTTCCATACTCTTGAGCATGTCAGCCGCCAATGAGTGTGCAAAAGAATAAGAAAAAGAAAATCTGAAATTCCTTACTTGCTCCACCATATTATTTTTTGTCTTTTTCTTCTTGTTCACTGTTTTCAGTGTTTGTGGTCGCTTTTAGTGAGGGGGAGTTTGGTTCATCTTGATTTGGGTTGGTAAGGGAGTTTGGTTTTTCATTGCAAGAGTTGTTTAGCGTGAACACTTTGAAATGTTTGGTAAGGGAGATTGGCTATATGTTTTGCATGTTGCTATGCACTGTTTGCCCTTCTTGTATGTTCCTAGTATTTACATCGTCATATCATTGCTTGTGTGGTTTATGATCTTGCTTTTGTTGTTTGAGAGTTGTTTTTCACAAGTCTTAGTTTTCATCTATTCATGTTTTCCATCTCATGTTTCAAGATAATCGTGTCATATGTCTATTGCCTTTTCATATACTCTTGTGGGACTAATAGTTGTTTTGGAGATTGTGGCACTAATAACTGTTTTACAGATCTTGACCTTGAGAAAGAAGTTGGCTTTTGTTGGCTGTTATGGGTTGGGGTGTTTAGGATTTTATTTGTTAGGTGTGTTTTGTCACGGCATTGCCAAAGGGGGAGATTGTTAGGTTTTATTCTTGGCAACCCCGTTTGACAATACTCCTTTCAGTTGTATTTGTTTTCGCACCTTTTATTTCAGTGAGGCTATGAGTTTATTAGATGCGAATCCAACCCGAATCGTGTCTTTGTCAATTTTCATGGATCAAAATTGAGGTTGTAACAGGATCTAGTTTTCCAGATTTTCCAATTTTGGTTGTCCTGCTCGAGCGGGGATTGTAAGCTCACAGCATCTTTGCTTCGGCTGAAAAAGTACTAGATGGTGTGATTCGACGCTCGAGCGTGGAAACTTCTGCTCGAGCGTGAAGCCTGTATGAATCACACAATTTTGAAACCTCCGCTCGAGCGAGAAGTCTCACGCTCGAGCAGGAAGTCTCACGCTCGAGCGGACCGCGCGAACACAGGTTCTTGGATTTCTATAAGGAATTGGTTTTTTTCCAAAACTAGGATTACTTTGGATTTCTATAAGTAGTTGGGTTTCTCCCAAAACTTGGACAAGTCCTCCAGATCTTCTTTTTGGGTTCTAAGGTTTATATCTGGGGATCTTTTACTAGTTTTCTTTGATGTTTTCATTGAGTATTCAACTCATGGTTTAAGAAGCATACATCAAAGGTCTGTTTGTTCATTCTACACAAAAGAGAAAGTTGTTCTTCGGTGGATTCTGAAGAATTCAATCCTGAAGCTTTGGTAGATTCTGGAGTGGCTCATCGTCAAGACAATTCTGAGGTGAAGACGGGGCTGGAAGAGGCATATAGGGGTTGGTTCAATTCGGGCATGGATTCGCTAGGTAATTGAGAGTATACCTGTGTAATTCCTTTATTTCTTCTTAGTGGATTGTTTTGTGGCTGTTGCCCGTTATTTTTTATCACAATTGGAGGTGGTCCAATTGTGGTTTTTCTACGTTAAAATCGTTGTGTCGATTTGTCTTGATTGTTTGATTGGGATTGTTTTATTGCTTAAAATTGATACATAATCACATATCAACATCTAGAGGATTTCTAGATTTTTCAAAATCTATGTTAAAAAAAAAATTACCTCAATTCCAAAACTGAGGGCTGATAAAGCAGTCAAGCTACCAATCCGTAGTCGGTATGTTTTTCCAGGAATAACCCTGAGAACATAAGGAGAGCATTTAGGATTTGTAGCATTACAAAGACTGGCTTGTATACCAGGAGTAGAGCAATCGAACTGTCCTTTTCCTTGTATCAGGAGTGACTGTAAATTTTTTTAAAAAAAAAAAAGAAGTTACAAACCAACCATTAAACATATGTAATTAATTGGGATTGTAAATACTAAATAGTGTCAAGTATGTATAAACCTGAGGCTCCCCAACCCAAACAATGGGTATGGAAGATAGTCCAGCGGCTTGTTCAAATGTGCTTTTGTGGTACCAATCGTTGAGGATGATGCTCCGATCATAATCGTAGGAAAAGGGCTCTGATTCTCCGTCAGGAAGTGCTACGTGGATGGATCCATACAGCCCACCTGTTCTTTGCATTCCATAATGTGCGTGGTACATATACGTCCCAGGCTGCGAATTCCATTATGAATTGTTCAATCAGAATCTTAACCAGTAAGAATTTCAACAAGGAACAGAACACATAAATAAAGCTTTTTGTTGCTAAAAAAAACTTACCCTATCCACAACAAATTTGTAGACAAAGGCGTCTCCTAGTAAAATCGGACACTGAGTTATCCCTTCTGTTCCGTCAGACCAAGGTGATCCAATCTACAAGTAATTACCATTTTCAACTCAACTCAAGTATGATCTCAATATATAATAATAATAATATATTAATGTATCTCAAAAATAAGAAGCTATATATATAATATATTGGTGTGTACCTGCCGAATACCATGCCAATGGATGGCGACATTTTCAGTTTCCAAACTGTTCTTGAGCTCTACAATGACAGTATCGTTTTGTTGAGCCAAGATTGTTGGACTTGGGGACTTCCCATTAATGGTGATGACCAGTTTGTTATAGCAATTTGGAGACTTGAACTCATGCTTTACCTCCCATTGGAAATGTCGAACTCTACTGGCCTCTGCAAGTGGAACACTAATCACTAGACAAACAACAAGGAGGCACACATACAACAACCTTGTCACAATTTGACAAAGCTCAACCATGTCTTCAATTCCTATCTCCTATCTCCTATCTCCTATCGTTAGGTACAAAATAATGGGTTTGTTATAATAACTAAATTAATTGAAATGGGAAGGAAACTGGTATGCTTGATTGAAGTGTTTGATCCTCTTCTTGATCTTTGTGTATATATATATTTGAAGATATGTTGATCGATTCAAGCCATGCAAAAGTCAATAAGAGTGGCTACCTCAGCTATACCTATTACATATGAATATATCAGAGGATTGAGGGTAGGTGGAGCGAGTGGACCAAGGCAAATGTTGAAACTGGGTTGCATATACATGCGCGTATAACAGTCAAAATGAAGACATGTCCTGGGTGTTTCCTCCTATGGGGGTTGGGGGTAGGGAATATTTGTTGGGAAAAACTACTCACATTACATAATTTCACATTGCATATCGCAAAATTATGAGATGAACAAAACAAACCATCAATCCCAGAAAAATAACATGCTGAATAAAATACAGATAAAATATAAAATAGTTAAAGGAAGCAAACCGAAGCCTGTGTGATACCACAATCTCCTTAAAATAGATTCGCCGCCTCACCGTTGGGTGCTGGAGGTACGCCGGCGTCTACTTCCCAGGATACGACAGTTTTTACCAGCTACAACAGAAGCACCTTTTGATTAGCTTAGCGAACGAACAACGGGAGCACTCTCTCTCAGGAAGAAAATTATAGGAGAAGTAGACTGACAGTGTATGGATGTCAAGGAAAAATTCTATATTTCTTTTCAAGGAATAGGGCCACCTTTTATACACCATGGAGGAGAGAGGAGGAGCCTCTAGCCATCAAGACTGGCAACTAATGCTAGCAAAACTGCCCAATCAATTTTGTAAAACTGATGAGCCTTAAATGTGTGAGTTATATACACATTTATGAGGCAATTTCTTATTCAACCATTTTTCTCCAACAATCCCCCACATGAATAAAAATTGACTGAATACAGCAAACGCTCAACGTTTATTAACAAAGACCCGGAAACAAAGAGAGCACATAGACTAACCCTGCATCAGAAAAGGTAGCTGTTGGCCTTGAACCTTTCGTAGTGAAAGCCTATCGGATTTACTGGCTGACCAGTGAACGTGATGTCTTGAACTGTTCTGCCATTTATGTAAACCGAGACAACAGACCTCACACAGGAGTTAGTCCAACCATTGTTCTTGTTCTCATTGGTGTGCCCGGTATGGCCCTGGAACACTAGCCTAGCTCTGTGAGTGTTTTTAAAGAATTCGGCTTTGGCAATTCTTAAAGAAGCGGCCCCACTTCGCACTCACATAGGTGACCTAGATACAGTACTTCATTATACCACATCACTAAGGTCATTAAAAGCATTAGCTTAACCTTCTGCCCCTACAGGGCATCACTGTATAAAGGAATGGGCAAGAGGATTTACCTCTTCAGTGACTCACCCGTTACACGAAGCTAGGTTGTCCCTTTGAACGTAGATCTTGGGACCTCCAGTCAACTAGGTTGGGTTTTCCGTTCCGGTAACCTTTACTAAAGGCCTTAACCCCATTCCTCTTGACAACTTTTCTACTAACTCTCGAGTTAACCCTTTGGTTAGCGGATCTGCAATGTTGTCCTTAGACTTGACATAGTCTAGAGAGACAACTCCATTTGAGAGTAGTTGTCGTATGGAATTATGTCTACGATGGATATGTCTAGACTTTTCATTATACATATTACTCTATGCCCGACCAATCGCTGATTGGCTATCACAATGAATGCTGATAGCTGGCACAGGTTTCGACCAACGTGGAATATCCTCAACAAACTGGCGAAGCCATTCAGCTTCTTCAGTTGCTTTATCTAAAGCAATAAACTCAGACTCCATCGTTGAACTCGAGATACACGTTTGCTTGGCAGATTTTCAAGACACGGCTGCCCCTCCGAGGGTAAACACATAACCACTGGTGGATTTGGCATCTTTTATATCAGATATCCAATTTGCGTCACTATAGCCTTCTAGTACTGCTGGGTATCTAGTATAATGCAACCCATAATCCAGGGTGCAACGGATATACCCCAACACCCGCATAATGCCCTTCCAATGAGTAGCATTAGGACTACTCGTGTATCTACTCAGCCTACTAACAGCGTAGGCGATATTCAGCCTTGTACAACTCATCAGATACATCAAACTCCCAATGGCCCGAGAATATTCTAGTTAAGAGACACTCTCATCATTATTCTTGGTCAAATATAGACTTAAGTCTACCGGTGTCCTAAACATACTTGTTTCTGACTTTCCAAATTTCGCAAGTATCTTATTAACATAATGAGCTTGAGAAAGTACAGTACCACCAGATGTTCTGGTGATCTTAACACCCAGAATGACATCTGCAAGGCCCATATCCTTCATGTCAAACTTAGAGTTTAACAATCTTTTGGTAGCTTTAATCATTTCATCATTGCTACCAACAAGGAGTATGTCATCAACGTATAGACACAAAATGACATAACCTTTGTCAGTGTCTTTAATATATACACACTTATCACACTCATTGATTCAAAACCCATTTGACAACATAGTATTGTCAAATTTCTCATGCCATTGTTTGGGAGCTTGCTTCAAACCATACAATGATTTGACAAGCTTACAGACTTTCTTACTTTTTCCTGGAACTGAAAACCCCTCAGGTTGCTCCATGTAGATTTCTTTATCTAAATTTCCATTTAAGAAAGCTGTCTTTATATCCATCTGATGTATTTCTAAACCACGTAAAGCTGCTATTGCAATCACCATGCGAATGGATGTAATCCTGGTCACAGGTGAATACGTATCAAAGTAATCCAGGCCTTCTCGCTGTTTGTATCCTTTGATAACTAGCCGAGCTTTATATTTGTCAATTGACCCATCCGCTTTCATCTTTCTTCGAAAGATCCACTTACTCCCCAAGGCCTTACTGCCTGGGGGTAGATCAACCAACTCCCAAGTATGGTTCTGTAAGATGGAGTCAATCTCAATCTTAATTGCTTCTTTCCATAAAGGACTTTCAAGTGAAGTCACAGTTTCGTGGAACGTTCGAGGTTCTCCCTCTAACATATAAGTCAAAAAGTCTGGACCAAAAGACTTTGTGGTTCTAGCCCTTTTACTCCTTCTTCAGCAAACGCTCAATGTTTATCAACAAAGACTCGGAAAGAGAGAGAGACGACGGTCTCCCTGCCCTTTACTCCTCTTCCATGGCCGCCACCGTCTTCACCCTCACATCCACCGCACACCACCACCACCACCGTCTTCACCATCATCGTGCCATTCTCGGACGACGACGATATGAGATATGAAGGCTTCAAATCTGTTGGATTTATGGTAGATCTGAGATGTGAGGGCTCTTCCTCCGCTGCTACAACCACCGAGATGAACGATGGGGGCCAAATCTGTGTTCGATTTTTGTTGGTTCATGATCTATGTTCAAATATATATATATATATAAAGCTTCAGTGATTTCTATATGTGTGTGTGTGTGTGTGTAATTAGGTATCTGATTGTTCGATTTCCAAACGCTAATGGCGGAAATTGAAATTCAAAGTCTGTATATGTGTGTAATTGGGTATCTGATTGTTGATTGATTTGGTTGTATCAGCCACATTGTGCACCAAACCTGTTCGACGAAAGTCCTCTCTGAAAATTCTTTACTATCTATCTAGTTTGGGAGCTTTTTAAAGATGTATGTTGTGAAAAGAGATGGGCGTCAAGAGACTCTACATTTTGACAAGATCATTGCTCATTTCAAGAAGCTCAACTAGTTGCTGCATTCTCTGCATGTGATGCATTTGATCTAGTAGTCGTCTAAATGATAGTAGGAAGTAAGTTATTTCAGATATTCCCTCTAGCCATACATAATTTGAGTTTATTATGCCTGATTAGTTATTTCCTTTTACAGTGTTAGTTTTAGATTATTTTGTATAAGTTTGGCTTGTTAAAATACATATTGTTTGTATTACATGCTTTTGTAATTTTAATGGCCTCCTTGGTTGCTATATTTGTTATGTGGTAGTCCACTGACTGTATACATGTCGTTATTGGTCCCCCTGTGTTCTAAAATTTTGATTTGACATTTGAGATATTTGAACCATATGTGCTTGGCTTTGAACAGTTATGGATTTACTTATAAAAATTGACACTTTTTGGGTTCAAATGGTAGATAGTTACTGTGTTCTTGTTCTCTTCTATAACATTTCAGTATGCATCTTCTTTTTGTTCTTTATTGATTTTTTCTTGTGGTTTATGAGTATTGTTTAACAGCATTACTACTTCAGGAGCTTGCAGGGATTATTAAATTGTCGGCATATTCTAGCTTCAGTCTGTTTGAGTGTCGGAAGGTTGTTGCTGGTTCTAAATCACCTGAAATTGGAAATGGTATTTTTTTTACCTGAGTTCCTAATATATATATATATATATATTTGCTTTTGTTTTCATAATAATATGCATTTTGATGTCATATAGAGGAGTATATTGGGTTGGATGATAACAAATACATTGGGGATCTGCTAGCTGAATTTAAGGCAGCAAAGGACCGAAGTAAAGGAGAAATCTTGCACTGCAAATTGACATTTAAAAAAAAGTTATTTCGGGAGTCGGATGAAGCTATAGGAGAACCAATGTTTTTAGGTGGGAAGGTGTTGGTGAAGATGGTTTGATGGTTTCACTGGAAATTATTTCAACATAAAAAACATCCATATTCACCAATTTTGCTGACAGAGCTATCAAATTTTCTTTTTATAAATAATTTTTCTAGGCAGAAATGCTAATCTTTATTTGTTTTTAAAGATGAAATGCTCATCAATAAAGATTTTTAAAGATAAAATGTCATCTGTAAGCAAGTTTTTATCTTAGGCATTAATTAGTTTTTACTTTTAATTAGTACATGGGCGAAATTATAATTCTATTAGATGGAGTAAACAGCACTAGTCATTATCGTTTATTTATTTATTCATTTTCAACAGCAAAGAGTAAACACAAGTATTGTAGATGGCTGTGATACTCTGTTTTTGGGTCTGGCTGCTGATAGCCGTTGGTTGTTTTTATTTGTGGTGTTTGGCTTGGGTTTGATCTTGTTGTAATACGCACCTCTATATTTTATTTCTTAATCTATTTG